GAAAATTTTTATGCCCACTGGAGTAAACCTGTGATCCGAGTGGTGCTATCGAATTACCTTTATTTCTTCTATCTTTAATGGACTCCTTGATGATGTTTGTCTAATACGTAGACGAACCAACTGAGCGAGTTTTAATCAGTAATGATGAGAGTTCCTAAAAAAATTTTTTTACTTTTTTCTTTATTATTAATATCATTATTATTTATTGTTTTACTTTATAAAATTATAATAAGAATTTTTGTATTTTATATTGTTTTTTAAAGAAATATTTTCAGCTTATACGAATGACAAAAGCTTATCAGGATATTGATAATATCGATGAAGCGACGCAAAAATGTGCAAATGATTTGCTCAAACTTTTGATGGTTAATTTTTTTTATCATTGATGCTGTTATCTTTCAAATGATATATTTCAAATTATTTTTTAATGGTTTAAATTCATTAAAAGTAAGTATTTTTTAGTGTCCATCGTCTGATCATATTTCCGATAATTGTAATTTATCCACATTTAATATTAATGATATGCCAAAATCACCAAACGAATCAAAAATTTTCAATGAATTACAAGTAATTATTTTATGGAAAATTAATTGAATTGGAATTTTTATTATTAAATAAATTTTTCTAAAAATTTTTCTAAAATTTGCTTTGGTCGATTAAGAAAATTATTGAAAAAAATTTTTTTTAACGAAGAATTTTGATAAAAATGAATATTAATAATTTAACGTGAATTTAACGTCAATTAGCGTATTTTAGTCGCGTGTGGTACAAAATGTACAAAAATTGGGTTCGCGAGCATTAAATACCGTGGAAATAGCGCGTCAGTGTAAACGATTGATGGTCACTTACAATATTGGACAACGACTCTTCGCGAAATACGTCATGAATCAGGTAGTCAAGGTATTTCTTAAAATTCGCTATGCATGTATATGTTTGTGCGCTTCGCTTCCGTTTTTTTTCTTTTTTTGGATAATTTTCTCAAATAAAATAATAAAATATTTAAAATAACCAAGATTTTTCATTTTCCACTACCTTTTATTAGCCAAAAATTGTTGTATTAGTTATCTTTGTTCTTTTTCCTATTTTATTATTTAAATTAATTAATTGATTTTTTAATTTTTTAGTTTTTTTTTTTTAAAAAAAATTATAGTCTCAAGGATCGCTAAGTGAACTTTTATCGAAGCCTCGTCATTGGAATAAATTAACTGATAAAGGTCGCGAAGCGTTTCGCCGAATGTATGGTTGGATATCTGATGAGAAAGCCATTGATTTGTTATGTTCAATTTCACCTCGAAGGGTTCATCCTGCGGGTGCGTTTTTTTAATTTAATTTAATTAATTTGATTAATTTAATTTTTTAGCTTTTTTAATATTATATTGGATGAAAAAAAAAGGTTCAAATCTTATTCTTTAATTTTCTTTATAATTTGAAAATTTATGGAATTTTATAGTTTTTATTAATATCAATAATAATTTATTTATCAATAATAATTTCAATAATATATCAATAATAATTTTATCAATAAATTTAAAATTATAATTTTTTTAAACACAATTTACTCTTGATGCTTTTTTAGGTGATGTAAAAATTGAAGCTCCTCTTGCTGAATCGTTGTGGGAGACTGGCGCTTCAGTGGCTCCATATATGCAATATCCAGATTCTGGTTCTGAATATGATGAAAACACATCCAAGAAAAATCAAAAAATCGTCGAGGTTCTTTAATTCACCTGATTTGTAGAGAATGAACTATTTTATAGCAATTATTGTGCTACCAGTTCAATCGTCTTTTTTGAATCCCCCCTAACTAGTCGATTTTTTTTAATATTTTTTTCTTACTAAATTTTGAAAAATAAAAATTCTCAATTTAAAAATTATTATTTTTTAGCCATCAAAATCACGTAGTCAGTCAAATTCTGCATCTCCTGGTTGCACACAAACGAGGTCTAGTAGTCGATGGAGGCATGACGACATTCCAAAAGAAAAGATTATTACTATTTTTCAAAATGAATTAGCGAAATTACGTGAACAGGTGTGTTATGTGTTATTAGTTGTTGTCAATTAACCTTTTCGAACAAATGGACTAAATTTGTGTTTTGGCTAATTTTTTAGATTAGATTTTATAGGAGGTATATGAGTTTTTGCCAGGTCGAGAATCTCTTAAAGATAGAGTTGGTGGTGAATTTCCATATCGCTTATAGTAAAAGGTTTATTCTTATTAAGAAGAAAAAATTCACCTCAGATTGCTTGAAGTAAATAATTTGCTTTTTTTAGTTTTTTTTTATTCAAAAGAAATTGTAAATAATACAATAATATAACCATAATTTATTGAAAAAGAACCTTTAAATTATTTTATATCTTATTTTTATCACTTCAATTATTTTTCTCTTTTTTTGTGAAAATTATTACTTTTAATAGTATTTATAGGAATCACATCTTGAGCAGGCGATTGCATCTCGTCCAAATTGTTCATTATTATGTAATCAGCAACGTTCAGCAAAAGATGAAAAACGAGTGTTTGGTTGTAGCCTAAAAAAGGTTCTACGATTTTAAATTATTTTAAAATATTAATTATCATTAATTTTAAACAATTACTCATATATATTGTATTTTAGAATGATTCTATGCCTGATATGCCAAATAATTCTTCTTTGTCGACATTAGCGAGTGCTGCATTAAATTCATCATCACATTCTTCTTCTTTAATATCGCAGAATTTCACAACAAATCAAACACATTTGCTTTTTGCTTTAAAATATCGCTCTGGTATGTCAGCTATAACTCAAGAACAACTCGAGCAATATGCTGTTCTTGACACTGAAGAAATTGTTTGTCAGGTATTTTTTTAAAAATTTCCTAAATTTTCTATGCAATTTTCCAGTTGGTAAATTATTAATAATTATAGTTTTAGATTAAGGATTATTTATCCACTCATTCGATTTCTCAAAGATTATTTGGAGAACATGTTCTTGGCTTATCGCAAGGATCCGTATCTGATCTTTTGGCTAGACCGAAACCATGGTCTATGTTAACTCAAAAAGGCCGAGAACCTTTTATTAGGATGCGATTGTTTTTAAATGAAGCAGCTGTGATCACTGATGGTTCAGTTAATCAAGGAGATACAAGTATGCGAAAATTTTTTGAGTTTTTCCATCGAATATTTTTTTTTGATTCGGTTTGTCTTCTAAATCACCCTTTTTTTTCTAATAAAGTGATTTTTTCAAGCAACCTCGTTATCATTGGAAAATTGTATCTCATCTTCGCAGCTTGATGAGATTAAAGATGAAAGTGATACAGATTCTAAACGAGCAGCAATCGAAGGACTACTAAAGATGAAAAATTCAGAATTGGAAAAGGAATTTGATAAGGTAGGTATAATGAATGCTATATTTCATTATTTTCTTCTAATCTGTATAAAAAAAAGTAATTTTAATTTTTTTTTCAGAAAAGAGGTGGTTTATTAAAAAATGAGCAAGATTATGAATTGGCTAACTCAACCGGTGAACCTCTTAATACAAATGAAATAGCTCGATTAGTTACGGAACGATTGCAATTATGTGGAATATCGCAAAAGGTAGAAAATATAAAAATTTAATATAATTTATAGTCGAATTGGCTAAATTTTTATTAATTCATTATATCTAAATATTTTTTGTAGACTTTTGGTGAAACTATCCTGAAAATGAACGTAACTGAAACGTCTAATCTATTTTCTAAATGCGATTCGTGGAATCATCTTTCATCTCATGATAAAGAATCATTTACATTAATGAATTCATGGCTGCATAATTCGAATGGTATTGAAGAAATCCTTAAAAATCTACCAATCAAAAGTGAATCGGTCCAAAAAAATTCGTCAACAGCCTCAAAAACTACATCAAATAAGCGTAAAATATGTGCAGTTGCGAATGACTCAGAGCCACCGAAAAAAGCTCAGGTTTCCTTTTTCTATACTCTATACGCTTAAAAATAACCTTTCCTAATTAATTTAATCATCTTTAAAAATAAATAATAATTAATATTTGGTTATCATTTAATCAACATATTTTTGCCGAAGGCATTTCTTGTTTATTGCTGATTTTTTAAAAAGATTTTCGATTGAACGATATTTTTTAATTTTATGATTAATTTTTATTTTATTTTATGTGTTTAAAATTTAATTTTCTAAATTTTAGAGGACTGTAATTACGGATCAGCAAAAAGAGGCTCTTAAATTTGTTTTTGAACATGATCAGCACCCATCACAAAGAACTATTGAACAACTCTCTAAAAAGTTATCTTTAAATATTCGAACAGTTAGTAATTGGTTCCACAACTACAGAACGCGTCAAAAGGTTTTAATTGAAATATTTACCTCTTTTAAGTTGCAAATTTCCTAACCATAATTAATTTTCAAGATATCAATAATATTTTTCAATATTTTTTTTGTCATTTAGATTAAGTAATATTTAAAAACTTCTTATGATTTTAATTTTTCTACTAATTTAAATTTTAAAATATATTTTTAGGCAAATTTGAAAGAAAGGCAATTCACAAATGGTGATTTGACTCGTCAAAAACGTTTGAAAAATAAAAGTGCTGATAAGTGGCAACAGGTTATTACTGATAATTCATTTTTTAATCATATATGCATAATTCATTTTAAAATATAAAATAAAATTCGAAAGTTCGATGTAATAGAATTTGCTAAGAATTTCGTTATTTATATAGGATCTCACTGAATTGCTGGAAATGGCTTCTAAACCACTTCCAACAAATGATTGGCCAACGATGGTTCGGACACAAATTTCATGCAAATCATTAAGAAATGATTCGTCTAAGAATTGTAGTGATAGTCAATTGGATAAGGCGATTGCACGATTGCAATTACTCGCAGCTGCTAAACAATCCTAGAAGTGAAGAAAAAATGAAGTATTATAATTTTTTTCAACTGCTGAGAAGTTTTTAATTTTATTTTTTTTCAAAATTTTTTCAATTCATTTTTTTCGTTCATGATTTTCAAATTTTTCAGATTTGCTTTTTTTCGATTTTTTTGAGTCAAATCGATCTCGCCTTCGCACCGGTCACATATATATTATGTTTTTATTTTTCCAGTCAAATCACCAGGGCTTTTTTCTTTCTTATATGTTTTATTGTTGTAAGTCATTTAATATTTTATCGTATCTATGGTATAGGAGAAGAGAACTTTTAGTAGAATCGTTTTAATGAACTTATCTATAAGTGTAGATTAGAATTTATGCATAGAATAGATTCTTCTTCTATTAATACTCGCCATTTTTATTTAACTAATTCCATTGTTTCACTTGAATTTGCCTGAAGGTCATTGTGGCAGAGGTAAAGATGGTTTCCCAGTCAATCACCTTTCATGTTTCTATTTCTAATGACAACTTTAGCCTAAATAATTGGCATAATAGTTGAAGATTGAAATTAATTATATATTAGTCTATAAAAACGATCTGTTTTTATATTTCGTCAAATCGTTTCTCTAGTCGTCGCTTTTTTATAAAAGCTTTTTCTTAAAAAATGAATAAATGCAATGTTTTGAAAAATTATTGCAAAAAATTGGAAGAATATAAATGATTTCTCAAATGAATTTCAATATTTCCTAAATTTTTTTTTGCTTTATTTTATATGATCTCATAAATTTATTTGTATAAAATACGGTTATATCTCGTAAATCTCAGAAGTAATTTGTTATATGATCTCGAATTTCTGCATTTATATAAATTTCTTTATTTATTTGTTTTTAATATTTGTATGATTGTTTGATATGAATGAAATGAATATATGAGGGTGCTAAAATCACATAAACCATATAAATGATTTTAGGTGTAAATGTTATCATTATTATCATTATCATTATCATTATTATTGTATAGGAGTTGTAGAGATTTATCTATAATACTAAACGCTTTATTTTGTGCATTTTTTTTGCGATTCATTTGGTCTCATTTATTATTGTATTGAATAAATTCTTCTTTCATATAATTTAACTTTAATTCTTTTTTATTTTTTTGTTTTTTTATTTTTGTCTTGTTTCTTGTCAAACTGACAAATTTTTAAAGATTTGTTTTGGAAAAAAGAAAAGCTTTTTCAGCGAATAAATGATAACAATTATTTTCTTTATAAACATTGATATGAATAAGGAAATATATTTTATAATATTGATAAAAATTAATTTTAAAAAATCGAATATAGATCGATTAGCGAATGCGAATGATCAAATCAATCAGTTAAATGCAGAAAATGAAGAAAAGAGAAAACTTATAAGTCGTCTTGAGGCGGATATTATCAATTTCCAAATTGATAATCGCGTAAAATATTTTTTTAAAAATATTTTGATTTTGTTATTTTAATATTATATTTTGATTAATAAATAAATAAATAAACATTTTATTTTTAAATAACTATTTGACAATTTTAGTAATTTTTAATGTAATTATGATAAACAAATGTTTATATTATTTTTTTTATAGGGATGTGTGAATACAATTGAAGATGAAAAATTAATTGGACATGATTCGTCGTTAAGCGAAATTTTATCAGAAGATATCAATGATAACGAAAAAGATGAAAATTTGAAAGGAAATGTTTTAAAAATTGTTATTTCTCAAAGAGATCGACTTAAATCGCGTTACGATGAAATTCATAATGAATTAACGATTTGTAAAGAGAATAATATTTTATTAAAACATGAATTGGAGAAAACACAAGAAGATAATGTGAATTTATATGGAAAAATTAAATTCTTACAAAGTTATAATAATAAAAATAATCAGGTATTTGTTAATTTAATTTTTATTCAAATTTTTTATAAAATAATTTGAAAAATAGAAAAATAAAAATACTAAATATAGTAAATAAACAACATATAATAAATGTAATAAATAAGAAAACTAATAAAAAATAAAAATAAATATTATTTAAACAACTTGTTTATTTTAATACATTATTTTTAATATAGGTTAATGGTACTTTATTTGATTTTTTAAGCGATTTATTTGATTTGATTTTTTATTAAATTTATTTGTTTTTCTATTTTCTTTAGTTTTTATTCTTATTATTTATTATTATAATATAGCAGGTAAAGGATTCGAATGTAATTGATATTGAAGCACGTTATGAATCGGATTATGAACGGCATCTCGATCCTTTTAGAAAGTTTCATATACAAGAAGGTAAACGTAAATATGCGCAACTACGTCCTCATGATAAAGCAGCATTATCTTTGGTTTGTAAAATTATATTTTACATTTTTAGATTTTTGGCTGAATACGGAAAATATACGCTTGATATTCTAATTAATTGTTCTATTGTATTTGCGGTAACTTTGGTTCCTTCAAAATCCTATAAATGGAAATTAAATAATGATTAAATCTGTACTTGTTCCTTTTTACCAAAAATGTTTAATATATAATATATATTATATTATATATATATATATATATATTTATATTAATTTTTGAACAAAATTAAAAAATAAATTTAAATAATAAAAAAAATTAAATAATAATACTCATGAAGAATCGTTTTTTAGAGTCGTTGGATATTAAGCAATGCACAAACAAGATTAACAATTTTTATTTATTTATTTATACTTCATATCCTTGTCTTTCTGGTATATTTCGCTTCATTTTTTATTTATATTTTATTTTATTTTTATCTATTTATGCCATAATATTGTGAAATAATATTATTAATTATTATTATTAGTATTAATAATTTATTAATAAATTAATAAGTAGGTTAATAAATTATTCTTTATATTAAATCATCAAACTATTTTTTAATTTTTATTTTTTAAATTATTAATTATTTATGAAAATAATAAATTACTCCATAAAAATAAGTAAATTACTCGATGAGCTTAAGGTTCTTTATCGTTATGCTAATATCGAATCGTGTCAACGTGATTTTCAAGCAGATTGTTTAGCTAAGTTTGCTTTTTTTCTATTTTTATTTATTAAATTTTTTAAATAATTTTCTTATTAACCCATAATTTGATTCTAGTACAATTTTATACAATTTTGAAATCCTTTTCTTTAAAATCCTTCGAATAAAATCCTAAAAATTGCAATGATTTTGTTGTAGATTTCAACAACATATGCATATTTACCATTCAAATGCTAACGGTATGGAGAATTGAATTGAATTTGCTTTCGATAATGAATTTCTTGACGCAAAGTTAAAAAATATAGAAAAATTTGTAAAATTTTTCGAAACTTTTCGAAACAAATTGTTCAAAAATTTTTCTCGCTATTTCTCGCTATTTCTCGCTGTTTTTGTTAACATGAAGTTATTTTATTCGTAAGTAATATTTATTTACATTTATATAAAAGTTAATAATCATTTCTTGTTTTTTTAATAAAAAATATATTTCAAACGTGAAAAAATGAAAAATTTCATGAGATTTTTCAGATTCGCTTTTCTTTTATTTTTTCTGAATTTCTTTCCTCTTTCGATTCTCCTTTGCTTCCTTTATATTCTTTCTCTTCTTCCTTCTCATTTATTATTGCCATTTTCTTTCTGATTGCTGATTTTATATCCTTTTTATTTCCTTCATTGTCTTCTCCTTCTTTTTTAACATTTTCTCTATTATTTTCCTCCTTGCATTCCTTTTTAAATTGTTTTTCATTTATAAATTTGTTCTTTGACTTCACTGACTCATTTTTATCGCATATCGCTGATATCGCTATTGGTGATATAATATCTTGCTGCACCTTTATATCCATATTCTTTTTCAAATCAGTCAAGTCCTATAATTTAATTGTGAAAATTTTCCTTTTTAGATTTAAAAAATTTTGTAAAATCTTTCGTTTACGTTTCATTTCTCAGTTTATTCCTTATTAGTGAAATCTGATGATTTGTATGTGATATAAACTATCCGACCAATAGTGAGGAGATTTAAAATATTTGTAGGAATAGCATGCAATAAACAAGATAACCAAGTAGTTGACATTATCTACGGAAACATTTTTTTGAGGAAAAACTTATACCTGGGAAGAAAAGGAGATTTTCTTTAATAAAATTTGCATTCTTTACATTCTTTTATTTTAAATCATTTAAAAGAAAAAAACGACTTAAAAACGACTTCAATTGTTATCAGTTTTTTTTCCGGAAGTTTATATTCAATATTTAATCTAGTTTCACGGCATGCTTTCACTGTGATTGCAGCTATATCTTCATCGAGGAAACTTTCTAATAATCTATTCAACTTTGCATCGATCTTATTCCAGTTTATCGATTCGGTCTAAAATTCATACAATTAAAAGTTCCATAAAATGGTTCCAAAATATAAAATTGCATCACTTCTAACACCAGTAAAACTCTCGCTTAAGCAGAAATGGTAAACGCTAATCATGCTTTGTTTACTTGCTGACTCTTGCTGACGACTGCTTCAAATCGAACTTTTCGATCCAATTAAAAGATTGAAGGACCAACTGAAGGAATGGTTAAAGGAAATAAGGAAATTGAATCGTTCATTTTTCTCTTTATGATATTCAGTTAGATCGACATAATTAAAAATTAAATCCGAAAAAATACTTGTTTAGCTTTTTCGTGAAATTCTTTTGGATTAGGCAAATCATTTTTTGTTATTTGATATTTTTTTGAGATTCTCTCGAAAATCGGCATTAATTCGTTTGGAGTTGTTGCGGTTTTTGTCAAATTTTTGCGATATTTAAAGAAAAAATATTGCCGAATTATTTCATCCATAATATATGTATGTATTCGTAACTAAAATTTCATACAATCTTGTTGAAATTAATCGTTTTCAATTAATTAGAATATTGGAATTTTGCGCGAATGAAAACAATTTTTTTTGAACGATCTTGAACAACCTATCGTTTTCTTCTGGAGATCTGGAGATGCTATACTATTTGTTAGCCACGGAGTCTAAGATGGCAATAGAATGGCAGTTTTTTACGGAATTTGTCTGTATACGTATTCCAATCTTTAATAGCGAACTGAGATCATCAGCTAGCATATAATGTTGATTTTTGTCGCTCAGGAATTCTTTTAATAAATAAATTTCGAAGATATAATTAATTTCAAAATAAACGTTCATATTTGCTAATTTTGAGCACAATTTAATTTTTATTTTTATTTTCTTCCCACCATTACTGGTTAGATTACGCTGTGCTGGCTAAAAGAGTAAGACTTCTCTAAGCTGTTCAGTCCGATCTATCATTTGTAGTAATAGAAGCCATTCCTTTTTCCAACGTCTAAGTCCATAAATCTCCTATACGTCCAAAATCTTTCTTGACTATATTAGTTCAGGCCTTGATTGGCCCACTTCGTTTTTGATGCCAACCATCATTGTGCTTGGCAAGTAGCGAAATATGAGTCAATTCCCGTGGTGGATGACGGAGAGTGTGCCCTAATCAACGAGGGCGACGCTATGTGATAACATTACATTAATACAGGTGGTATTTGAGCGAAAATGGATATAATCATGTGCGATTTTATCTGCTCGACGGATCCGTAAAATATATCTTAGGCGTCAGTGGTCAAGGGCTGATGGCTTCTTAATATCTTTCATTCTCACTGACCATGTTTCGCAGCCATATAGCATGATCGAGCGAATTACAGTTGCGTGGACACGGACTCTTTTCTTTATAATGGTTTTGCGATGGTTCTATAAAGATTTCATAACCGGAAAAGCATATTTTTAGCTGTCGTTATCAGAGTTACAATTTCATCCTTTGGTTGGCCGTTTGGGATTAGAGTGGTTCTTTTTTTATTTGTTCATGATCGTTGCGTAATTGTGTATGGTGTCCCATTTCGAATATAAATGAGGTAGGCTTAAGCTTGACATGTTTGTAAATTTTTCATTGATAATGGAGTACCATTATCATTTAATTCTTATCAACACAAAATTACGAAACTCAGTGAGTATTCACGAAAATTTAAAATTATAGAAAAGCCTAAACAATAAGTCTAAATTTACTCACTTTTTTCACACGTCTAACAACATCATTAATTCTGTTTAGTTCAAAAGAATTTGGAATATCTTTGATATCCTGAAGCAATTCTTCTTGCACTAATTCATCTGACCTCCCTTTTCGCATTAAATAAGGCCAAAAGGAACCAACGAAAATCTAAAAAAAACAATGCTTTAAATGAAACCTTTAGGTCTGATATGAAAAATTGATTCATTTAATTCTATAATAATTCAAATTCTAATAGATTTTTGATATATCATTGAATGGAACTATATTTTTAGCATATACGTCGGGAACTTCACGACATTTCATAATCCCTCCGAGTGACCAAATAAGTGAGGTTTTAACTCGTAGCAACTCGTATTCTGATATCGAATCTGCTTTATTCAGTATAAATTTTATTTTTTCTTTGCAACCTTCCAATATTTCAATTATCTAAAAGAGAAAAACAACTTTCGAGTATAGCATAAAGAATATAATTGTGTTTTCGTTAATATAATAATGAACAGTGCTGAAGAAGCACAAGTTTAAAGTCCTGTGCCTTTTTCCTATTTTCATGCATCGATTGGACCCCCAATTACTATATGGACTACTATTTTGTCAAACTTATTTTCCTCAAGAATCAAGAATCGGTTTGTTTTTCAGCCATTTGATAAGCAGATGGCGCTTCTTATGTCGTATTCACAAGATTTTAATCAAATATGATTGCTATGAGTCTATTTGTAAAATGGTCGATAACGCCAATTTTTTCAGGGATTAATATTTTGAATTTGAAAAATTTATAATTTTTGTAGTCTAATTCTCTCTGTTCCTCTCTTTTTAAGAAAAGGCAGATTCCACACTGTAATGTGATCAAATTAGGTCTTCTGCTTTAGTTCATTTTAGTTTAAATTCACCATTTCGTTTCATTCCTATTCCTGGTATCGTAATACTTCCATTCTTTAAGTGAGATAGTCCAGATGAAAGATTTATTTTGCTGATAATTTCTGCCACAGTTTTCAAATCATAAACCAGAGAAATATTTAGGTTAACCAACCTTCGCACATTCATGGCTTATATCTATTTTATTCACGTCAAAAATCACATAAATACGATCAACTTTACTCGCTAATGTTTTAGTGACTTCCACAAGATCATATCCTCGTGTAGAAATCTGTCAATTAATCTTGTTTCATTATAATATTACTAAGAATTAAATGAATGAATTAAATGAATTAAATTAAATGAATTCACTTGCATATATATATATATATATATTTCATGCTAGGTTGCCTCCTTTGCTATATCGGATTAAAAAAATTTTGCAAAGGAATCATTTGACTATAGAAGTACGGATGATTTGTCTGTCAGTAATATCAGAATTGAAAGGCAGGTTTTTTACTTCCTGGTACGATGGGAACCCTAGCGATGCTCCAAAATGAGGGCAAAATCCAATGCGCCATTCTTAAGATAATGTATAATGATATTTAGTGATAAAATTCATAAAGCGATTCGATGGTTTATCAACTCCTCTTTATCAATCAATAAAAACGAACCTGTCTGTCAGAACTTAATATTCCAGGAGTATCAATAATTGATATATATTTTAACAATTCAGCTTTGAACTTTACACATCGAAATTTGTTCAAAAATGTATCGCCAAATTTATTGAGAATCTATAAGAAGTTTTAATTTTTGCTTCGCTGTTCCATTTTTTTTTTATGTTTTCGATAATCGTAATAAGCATTGTTTGAAAATCTTCAAAAAATAGAAATTTGAATGAAAATTAAATGAAAATTTTTCTTTGATCATCTTTTTAAGCATAAAGAGGATAGTTGAAGAACATATTGGTAATAATAATAACCTGAAATTGATAATTTTTATCTGCAACCAATGTAGGACCAGGCAGTGTTTGTACTTCTTCGCTATAAGTAATATGAGTGAAGAAATCGGTGCTTGGTTCGGGTGCAATAACCGCACCAGGATATAATCCATGCAATAAATAAGATATCATTGATGTCTTTCCGGCTGAATATTGTCCAATGAACAATAATGTTGGTTTACTCTATGAATAAAAACGATTTATGCAAAATGAAAACATTATCGAGAATCTTCCTTTAGTTATCACGATTTTCTTTTATCTTTCTGATTTGTCAAATTTCATTATAACCCTTCAGCTTGAGATTTGTGGTTTGAGATTCAGATTCTTCACTAAGAAATGAACTACAACTGTTAAAATTACTAAATTCTTCGAAAATTTTATGAGAAAAAAAAGGAGACTAACATTTAGTTCTGCCGTTTGAAGTGGTAACGAATTAAATGAACTCCATAAATGTCGTATTTCAATTGGACGTATTTTATTTTCATATGCTTTCATCAACATCTTTATTGAATTTATTTATTTTTATTTATTTTTTATATTTTTAATATATTTATTTTATTAAAGTCGATTTTAAATTTTAAATTTTTTTTATTATTGTTCTCAAGTTAAAAATTTGAAATTTTTCTTCAATTTATAAATAACTTTTTTATTTATGAAAAATAAAAATTTTTTGAAAAAAATGAAAAAATTTTTAAATTACCTGCATGCATCCTAAATTTTCTGAATTGATTTTTATTTTTTGCACTAAACACATTTTTTTGCATAAAAAACTGACCACTAATCACTTCTATCAGATTTTTTATAATGAAAAATATCGAAATTTTGAATAAAATTTTTTTGGTTATTCAAATTTTTAATTTGAATTTTTAATTTAATTTAAATTTTTATTTAACCATATTTTCAACTTTTATAAATTTTTTTTCATAAAATATTTTATTTTTTGTTTTAGGCGATATTTCCACATTAATTTTTCTTTGAAATAAAAATTGAAGTCCATTTAAAAAAAAATCCCGTTGAAAATATTAGTAAATTTTTATTATGCACTTAATAATTATGGTTAACAGTTATTCAAAAATAAAGAGAGAGGAATTTTTTAAAGGCTCACGGTTGGCTAAAAGCACAAGGCAAATTTCTAAATTAGTTGATCTGAAAGTAACAAAAGTCACTTCCTTTCCCAGTGCTGACGCCCAAATGTCTTCAGAACGTCTATTCCGAAGAAGATCGGTCCATATAATTGCAATTCGCTCGATTTTACTATGTGGCTGCGAGACGTGGCCAATGAGAGGATATCAAGAAGTTATCTTCCTTTGAACACTCATATCTCGAGTACACAAAATCTCCATGATCCACCTATTCTCAAATCTCCATTAATATTATCATTAGAGCACATCCTTCGACTTTGACTTCGACACATCTTTCGCCCATCACAGGAGTTGATACATATTTCGTTACTTGCTAAATTTTGTAATGCATGGCGTCAAAAGCAAGGTAGGCCAGTCAAGACTTCGATTGATGCAGTTACAAAAGATTATGAACCTATAGCGGGATTAACGATATATGGACTTAGATGATGGAAAGAGGAATGGTGGCTTCTATTGCTAGCCGCGATGGCATCAGATGAAGCAGCTTGGAAATCTTATCCCTTTGGCAGAGGATCCACCCTAACCAGTGATATTGAGAGCTATTAGAGGAAAAAGAAGCATCTATTAAAATCTATTATGGACCGAATCAGTTCAAGTCCTAATTCTCTTCCATTTTACACTATCCATCATGGCAAGTAGCGATTACGAGTTAATTCTTGTGATTGGTGATACACCTGTAGCTCTATCCCAAAGGTGAAAGATTCTATGGTGAAAGAGTCAGATATACTTGATACGGCAACCTTGTCTCCCGATGCGCATGATACTTCCAGCTCAATGGTACATGCGACAAGTATACAATCCCAGCTTAAAAACGATCCCAAGGCTGGTAAATAAAATGTGATCGCAAGCCAGGGCAATTGCTCGAAACCTATCAAGGGGAATAGTTCTCTGCACGCATAGCACAGTTTTAGCCGTATCAGCGTGGAACGTCAGAACGCTTATGGACGTTGCAAGTAAAGCGATCACTCTATACCCTGTCCATATCCTGTCTAATTATCGCTTGCTTATCGGAGGTATTATCCGTCTTCCCTCACTTTTGGTCTCGAATAATTACTAATCCTAGCTCGGAGCAAAAGCACTGGCTACTATATAACTGTGGTGCTTTGGATAACTCGGAGCAAAATGGCGTAGCGATTGTCATATCTGACAAGGCCCATTCCGCTTTGATTGAGTGGAAACCAGTAAACGACCATATGGCCTATGCCCGTTTTAAGGGTAAGTTCTGCAATATGTCGGTCATCAGTGTTTATGCTCCAACTCTGTCGGAGATGACTGTGATAAAGACAAGTTCTATGCGGAACTTCAACTGTTAACAAAATCTCTACCGAAACATGACATGGTCATAGTCGGGGGAGACTGGAATGCACGCATAGGTCATAATGCCGCTGCGATGACCTCTACAATTGGCAAATGTGGCATCGGAGACCGGTGCGCCAATGGAGAACGCCTTCTTCGTTATGCCAAGAGTATGAACTTTTTATTACTAATACTTGCTTCCGGCATCATAGAAAATATCTAGTCACGTGAAACTCCTCGGATAACCAACACTTCAACCAGATTGATTATATCTTAGTCAGTCGCCGAAGAGTTCCATACTAGATAGCCGTCTCTATCGAGGTGCTGAAACAGGCAATCTTTATGGATCTGACCATGTTATGGTTCGAGCCAAGATCCGCATAAACTATCTCAAGCTAAAAAATTCGGTGACAGTGAGCGCATTTCAAACCGAATTTTTGAAGCATCTCAATGATACAAATATCAATGATTTTTCTGGAATGGCAAATGAATGCTGGTCCAAATTAAAGGAATATCCCCGAAAATCAGCCACTTCCACGCTAGGGCATACTATTAGGAAGTGCGCTAGTTGGGTATCGGAAGCAACTCCGATTGTCTGAAAAAAGCTGCCAAAGCACGAATGTCAGGTGATCCTGACTACCAGGTGCTTCGAAGATTTGCAACGAAAGCAGCAAGGTGGGACAGAAATCTCTATTGGAGTGACATGGCCTCAAGAATGGTGGCGGCGGCTCGATTAAGCGACAGTAGGAAACTATTCTGCCTTCTCCATAAAGCAATTATGACTCGGGGAACGATCAGTGAAATGGTAATAGACAGTAATGGCGTATTAATTAAAAGTATTAAGGATCGCCTTATAAGATGGAAAGAATTCTTTAAGGCCAATCTTAGCCATGAAGCGCCATCTGTTGCCCCTGATATGTGCCCCTGATCTAGCTGATACGTTTGCTGAAGCATACGTTTGCAATTGCGAGCCTCCAACAGAAGAAGAAATAATTTCAGTTATCCATAAGCTTAAGGCCAACAAAACTCCAGGAGAAGATGATCTTCGGGCTGAGCTTTTTAAATGCTGTCCATCGTCGTTCATAAGGCACCTTCAACAAATGTACTCTTTAATATAGAAAAAAGAAATATTTTACCAGATGACTGGAGCAAAGCAATTCTTCTCCCAATTTCCAAGAAAGGTGACAGGATATACTGCGACAGTTATCGAGGAATTAGCTTATTAGACGTTTCAGCGAAAATTTCTGCTTCCCTTTTACTCAACATATTTATGGAAATACGAGACAGCAGGATGCGTCCTAATCAAGCTGGATTCAAACCGGGGCACGGTTGTGCCGACCAGATATTCACGTTAAGAAGGATGTTGGAACATCGCTTCAGATATTTGCAACCCACTGTCACGTTTTCATAGACTTTGCGGCTGCCTTTGATTCAATTGATAGAGAGGTGCTTTGGAGGGTGATGGAACGCGATGGTATTCCAGAGAAGATCATTCGACTCATTAAGGCATTTTATGAGCGTACGTCGACGCAGGTATGTATGACAGACTCCTTCAAAATAAGAACTGGTGTCCGTCAAGGATAAGTTTTTTCCCATACAATATTCAATTATGCGATAGACTGGATAGTGTCAGAGAGCGCCGCTTGGAAGTGTCTTACTCTTGTAGCTGCTGCAACCAGCTTAACCAGAGAGCTGTTAGAAGAAGATTGGTGATGCAGATCATGAACTAATTAGTTTAGGTTATTTGATGATGTTAATAAGTTTGTGAGATGATAATTAACACTTGGTAAGAGTTTAATATTTAATGTACCTTAAGAATGAATGACCAAAGATAGGTATTTTCTTGTCTTATCTTTCATTCACAACGGACACTATAATGAAATAGCGCATATTAACAAGCCGTCCGGCAAGTAACCAGACGAGAGTTGTAGATAGGTGTAAAATTTTCTTTTATTGATGATTCCATAGAGATTTCGCTAAACAGAAGAATTTTTTCAAGATAACTGTGACTATACAAATCTTATCTCTCACTGGAGGACCATTTGAACCTTGCCCAATAGACTGATTAAATTCTAATCATTCAAAACATTATGCTTCAATGTTTGAGATCACTTTCACTCATCCTTTTCATTCTGAAGATGTGATCCGTATAATTGAATTGATCATAGGATCTAATATTTTTTAAATCATTATTATCAGTGGTCATTAGTTAATTGTTATTGATTACCAATAGTTATTTTTCATCAAAGGTATCGTTACTTTTATATAAACTTATCATTATTATTATTATCAATGTTTTCACATCAAATAAATAATATCATTTTAAGTTAAAAATTTTTATTGCAGCAATTTATATAGTAATATTATACTTCATCCAGTTTGCTGAAATTTCATTAGCGCAAGTAAAGTCTAAGGAGCATTTGTGACATTGCATACGATTTTCACTGGAGTAAGCAAGACAAGATGGCAATCAATAACATAAATAAAGATATCCAGAAACGAAAGATGTAAAGAAAACCAAAGGTAATTTTTGAAATTTAGAAGTGGTAATTTCAATTTCGAGAATGGCCAAAGATCTTTCAGATGTTAAGACTTTCTGCATTTCGTAGTCAAAGCTGAGGAAATATCGGACAAAATCGAACTAAAAAATAGGTGCCCACTTAAACAGTATTCAATCGCTTCATATGAGGATGTCAAATAAACCATTATTTGGGTTCCATATAACCTCATTCAAGTTTTAGTGGTCTTGAAAAGTGAGTATTTTTCTATTTATAAACATCAGTGAAAGAAATCAGCAACAATCACTAATAGAACAATTCTTCTATTTGTCCATCATCTGAGGCAACTTACTAGAAATATGCAATGGAAATTATGAATTATAGAAGATCCTGAGGGAATCATTCGAGAGCTTAGCTATGAACTTCTACCACATGTATCTTATAGTCAATTCTTCCATTCATTCAGTTCTCTGCTATTCAGTAGAAAAACTTTTTTTACCCTTTTGATGGCAAAAAACAGCCTTGAAAAAATTTATCTCCAACTCCAAGAACTATACAAACAAATTGGATTCATGAACTAATTTCTGGATGGTAGAAAGTTGTGAAAAATGGTGATAAATAATGCACTCGATTAGTACTACGTAATTTTCTTGATTCTTGATCTTGATATCTCTTAAAAATACGGTATTATCTATCTAATGACGCGTGGTACTGACCTACGGAGAATCATTGTTCAGGATTGTTAACTGTTTTATATTAACTGTTTTCTTGAATCGCATCTTTTAATTATCATTGTTTTAAGTTTCTATATATTTCGTCTAATATTGTCAATGCTTCCTTTTTTCTGTTATTTTATTAATAAAAATAATAAAATGTGGATTATTAATAAAATAAAATACTTGCTTAAAATCGCAACGGTCTTTTTATAACCCATAATTATCTAGTAAGTCCCACATGGGAGGATTCAACACATAAAAGATTTGAGGAGTGAAAATCGAGTTTGAGTCTGGAAATCCAATAATCCACATTCAATACGAATCAGCTTATCAAATTTTAATCCAAAAAGATTAGAATTAGATTACTGAATAATAAAAATAGTTACAATAATAAATAATAAAGATACATAAGAATGCACAAGCTGAAAAATAGAATAGATAAATTATATAAAATTATAATACTTATTTAGAATAATAATGATAGTAATAGTAATAATAATAATTACAAAAAGGCATCTTCTTCTTCAAGCTCTAACGCGCTAAGCGAATGTTGAATGTATTTAACTGCAGATGGATCATAAGAAGTTGAATCAGACGATATTATGTAGCTAGAAGCCTTACTTGTTTTAGCGATGGTGGCAGCTGATGACTGAAATATATTTTTTAGAGTAAATTCCAAGCTATTTTATTATAATGAAGGCAAATTTTTTAAAATTTAAACAAATTGACAGGAAAAGTTGATTTTTTGAGGTTTTTTGGTCAAAATTTATTTCTATTTGATATAATTCCATTTTAAATCCTTTTATATTATTTCAATAATAAGAAAAAGACAAAAAATTTCGTGTGCATAAAGAAATATTGGAAGTTGTGGTAGAATAACTCAGTTGCTCAATTCGTAGCATCGATGCTGCTTGAAACTTGAAGCGCAAAAGTAAAACCTCTGAGTAATGCTAGCGACTCACCTACACTTCTATCGTCAAGGAACTCCCTGGCATATTTGTCTTGCACGATAAGCCAGCGGAGCTTTTTTAGCCCGTAATGGTCTCTTTAAGGCTCTTAAAAACAAAAAAATTATTGGAAGTTGCTAAACTATTCGCCAAATTTTGGAATTATCTTGCCAATTCTTCAGGACTCTAAAATTAATTTTGGCTGTTTTCTTGCCATAAAACCTGACATATCGAGAAAGATGGAGATTTTTAATTGTCTTTAATAAATGAAAGATGACGATAAATTGTGATGATTATAAGAAAATTCTAATTTTTCTAATAGTATATATAATTTTTAAAATTTAGTTAGCTAGTTAATAAAAAATTTAGCCAAAGCGAATTCTTCTTCTTCTAAAGGGTGATTTAAAGATAAGTGTACAGATTGTTCGCTAATACCACTCGATTTTCCTTAGAATTATTGGTAGATTGCAAGAAACACGAATCGATTCCATGCACTATTAAAAATGTTTAAATTTAATCTAAACAAAATCAGAGCGAATGTATCAGTCGATTATTAACGGTTAAATATAAAAAAAAAATATAGAAAAAACTAGCAGTAATTGTAACAGATTTGTCAGATTTTAATGTATAGTTTTGCGGTACATTTTGTCTTTTGTTGATTTTACGTAATGGATTTTTCCATAGCCTGAAAAAAGACTTTTATACAACTTTTTCTGCCAGCAAATTTCAAAAATTTTAATGGAAAATAATTTTAAATAATACATATACACATATACATATACGTATTATTATATTAGAAAATAATAGAATATTTGTAAAATTTTATTTTTAAAATATTTTTATTTTTAAGAAAAACGGGTAGAATGGCTGAGCGATTCTTTGTTCTTATTATGGAGGGCCTATACAGTGTCTTTGCACAGGAATAAATCGATCTTTCAAAGATCCTAATGATGCTTGGAATCTATATTTCTGTCGTTAAGTGATTTCTTAGCAAAATTCACAAATTTACAAAAAGTGATGCGAGAAACCAGCGCAACGCGCGAAAATATTATAGAAAATAAGAAGCACTGGTATAAATACTATAATAGAAAATAAAATATTTTCTTTTATAGTATTTAATAAATAAATTAAATTTTGGAATTAAAAGAAAAGAAAAAAATTAAAAAAGAAGATTTAATTCATTTATCGAAATTGATAGAAAATTCAATTTAATTCATAAAAAAACTCATCAAAAATTCAATTTTTTTTTGGATAAAAAATATTTATTAAAAATAAATTTAATGGCAAATTTTTTCTGTTAATAATTTCTTATTTTATTACTTATTATTGTATTTGGGAATTAAAAAAAAAAAAAACTAAATTTAGCGGAAGTGCATTAAGATACATACATTTTTCATTAGAATTCAACTATCGTTTATTGTTGATTCTCGAACGAAACAAATTTAAAAATTTCTAGAAATATAGAGTACGAATAAATTATAAGCAAAATATAGTCGTCAATAAAATTTTATTAATTGAGTCAAATGAGATATAAATATTTTAATTTATAATTTTTTTAAAAAAATATTAAAAAGATTTTTTTTATATAATAAAATAAAAAAATGAAAAAAATCTACCTAATAGTAATTAAATTATTTCCAAATGTCTTTATACGTCGTTTATTATATTTTTCAAGTTCAGCTCGCGCTAACTTTATTCGCCGATTCATTAGTGTAAATATAACGGGATATGCTGAACAACTTATATATGGTAATAAGTGTATTAAATATGAAGCAATTACAACTGAAAATTTATTAAATTTTTTTTTAAATTTAGAATAAAATTTAATGAAGAATAAAAAAGCAATTTTAAATTATTTTATCGATTTGAATAGATTTTTATCAATTTTCCTTTCCTTTTTTGCAAAAAATAACAAAAATTTAAATGGTAAGAAAGCAGCTGTTAAGGAATATTTCAAAAAAAAGCCAACTTTTACGATTCATTGAACTAATAAATTTATGTGCGAAAATACTTAGCCAATATGGTGTCCAACATGAAACGTAGACGACTGTTAATACGAAAACTGTTGCCGCAACACGACGCATCGCCGAATCATTTGAACTAAAATAATTATTTTTTTAAATAATAGTTTTTTTAATAAATTAATTTCTTTTTAATAAATTTTTTTATAAATATTAATGAAAGAATATAGCTTAAATAAAATATTTTTGTCAAGAAAAATTCAGAAAAAGTGCAAAAATTTTAAAAAACGAATGTAGAAAATTGATGAAAAATAATAAATTTAATTTTTTGACTTTCCTTTTTGATTTCCACAAAATAATTCGAATGAAAATATCATTTTTTTTCGGTTTTTTGTTTTTTTACTTAATTCAATTTTAGTTGCCTAACTTATCGAATTTAATTTATTTCATTTTTTTTTCTAAATTTTTTCAATGGTTGGTTGAATAATTTTTAAGTAACAAATGCATTTACTACAAATGAAATCGATAAGAAAAAAATTTTTTTTCTTTTCTTCTTTGAAAATAGAATAAATGAAATAATAATTTAAATAATTAAAAATAAGTAAATAAATAAATAATGAAAAATAAATAATGGATAATTTAAACGACTAATAAATAATTGCTGCAAAATAATTATTTGTTGACAAATAGAACAGAAATAATGATAAATAGAAATTTTTTTACAATATTTATTTAATTATTTATTAATATATAAATAAAATTTATAAATAATAAAATTAAATAATAAAATAACAGAATTTACCTGCTAAATGCTAATGAACTGTCGACATGTTTTTTAAGAAAAAATGATACAGAGACATACCAATAAATAAAACCGCCCAATGGTATTGCATAACTTGATATACATGAAACGATACCAAATGCTAATTCGATTCCTTTAAATATATCCTTTTTTTTCCTTCATCAAATATTTCATACAAATTTTAATTTTCAAGCTTAATTGAGAATTCATTATCGTAGGAATATTTTCTATTCTTCAATAAATCTTTTCATTCACTCATTCCTTTATTCATTCATTCATTCATTCATTCATTCATTCATTCATTCATTTGTGCATTACAATGTGCCTCTTCGTATTACGTTTACCTATTGAGCTTTGTAAATGCGACATAATAAAATTAATAAAATTTTTTTTTTCCAGCAAATATTTTTAAATAAAAATTACAGTTAATATATAGGAATTTTTCAATTTTTTTTAATAAAAATAATTAAAATAAATATTTATGAAATCATTTTATTTTTTAAAATTTTTTTTTTCAAATGACCTGGTGGAGGCGTAAAACTACATTTTCGCATTATAAAAACCGTCTTTTCCGTTGCATTAACACGAAAAAATAGTGAAGAAACTTGACTATAAGCAAAAACTGGCCATAATACGATCATAATTATTGCCATCGATGCGAATACTTGTAAAGCAGCTAACTACAATCATACTTTTTTATTTTTTTATAGTTATTTCAATATTAAATTGTTTATTTTTTGTAAAATAATTTTTTCAGCTTTAGAAAAAAATGATTATTTAGTTATTTATCTATTTACTAAATTATCATTTTCAAGCTCCTCTCATTGAACTTTTATTTTTTAGTGGAATATTTTATTCCGTTCGAACAAATAGTTTTTCTTTTTTTCTGATTGACTACTCAATATTTTTGGTTAGACTCGTTTCGTTCGCTTATCAGATAAATTTTTGATAAGATTGACTTAGTGACAAAAATATATATGAGCCGCTAGTCGCTAGCAATCGGCGCTCGCTAGCAATGTATGCACTTTTCTATAGTTTACATTTATCGGAAATAGAGTCTGGCATTTTGAAATGCGAGCAAAAATCCTTTATATTACCTAATTTTCCATATTCTTATCATAAAATAATTTTCATTTAATAAAATTTTTAGTGATCATTAAAATGAGGATGAGAATGGTGGCTTAATGGGTGGTTGCTCAATCGGGAGCGCCGATTCCCCGCAAGAATAAACCTGTACAAAAATCCGGGTGATGCTGGTGACACACCTTTATTTCTATCGCCAAGGGACTCCCTGGCATATTGCCCAATTGCAACAAGCCAATGGAGCGAGTTTAACCAGTAATGATGAGGACTCTTTAAAAAAAAATGATCAATAAATGACAATTTAGTTATATTTACAACTATATTAATGGGTATTGAAAAAATTTAAACTATTTGCCAACTATTCATTAAATAATATCAAAATAAATTATCATTATTTGTTGTCAAATCAATTCTAATAATTATTTATTTGTAGAAATATCTCTGAATTTTTATTGGAATTATTAAATAAAGAATTATTAAACTACTATTACGAAAAACTTTTGTTAGAAAAAGGTTGAATAAAACAAAAAATAACTGAAACCTTAAGACTAGCGGCATTTTTTTGTTGCTTATTTCTTAAACAAACGGTAACATAACAGGTCCGACTTATTAGAACGACAATAACTGGTGCAACAAATTTATTCATTGCTTCAAAAACAAGATATATTGTGCATGATGCTTCACTAAATTTCCATGTTCCCATAATTATTTCGATTATTAAAAATAGCATTCCTTAAATTTTTTGGTTTTTTTATGAAAAATTATATAAAAATTAATTTTTTTGTAAAAAATTGTGTAAAAATTATTAGATTTTTTTGCACAAATTTTAAAATATTTGCTGCAATTGTTGAAAAGTCTAATTAATTAATAATTAATTAATTGATATTTCTCCTTTTGACATAAATTTAATTCCATTTAATTCTTTCAAATTTTAGTCGGAATTTTTTAATAATTTATGAAAATCTCTTACAAACACTATTTACTAATAAGAAATATAAAAAAATATTAGTTTAATTTAAATTTTTTAAAATCAAAACGTAACCAATCATTATCATTAGATCGGATAAACAAAGAGTGATTATAAAAAAAAGAATACTCTTTGGTACTTTAATATTAACATAAAATAATAAAGGTGCAACCATATATAATACCCAAATATTTGCCATAAAGCCAAGTGCATTTATTAAAATATATGCAAATGCGACATATTTACGATATCCCTGATGAAAAGAAAATTTTTCCCTTATATTTCTATTTATAGAATTTTTTTGGAATAAAAAAAATAAAGCAAAATTTTCTATTAAATTCGCAGTTTACTACATTTATTTTTTCATTTTTGAATTGCTAATTGAAATTTCTGCAACTCGAAAATTTTAAAAATTTCAAAGGGAAAAAAAAGAAACCTGAAATGGTAATGTATATTCAATTTGAATAAAATCTGAGAAATTTTCTTCGGAATTTATTATTAGCGCCATTTCTCTTACCAATTTTTCCCTATTGTTCTAATAAATTTTTAATAGAAAATATAATAAATATTTTTAATAGCTCAACAAATAATAGTAATAGCGTTTTGTTCTCTAAAAGTTCAATATTCGTTATTGAACATATTTTTTGAAAATATTTTTAAATATTTTATAAATATTTGAGAAGAAAAAAAGATAATTTTTATTAATTTATCGAAATTTTTTTTGATTTTTGGAAAATTTCTCTATATCTTTTTTTAATTTTTTTAATACTTCAATGAAATATTTAAATAAATCTTTTTTAATTCCATAAAAAATTTTAAAAAATAAAGAAATAATAAATACATTTCAAACAAACATATTTCCAGCATTTTCATGCCTAATAAATTCATTAATTCCCTGCAAAATCATACGATAATCGCACTTAGTCGATGAAATATTATTCGATGTTTGCAATAAAAAAATCGAAAAAATCGTATTCTGAAAGGTATTAAATCTACATTTATTGAAAACAAAATAAAATCAAGAAAAATACTAAAAATATTTTACGTTAGCTAAATTAATTTATGAAGATGGCGTAATTAAATGGAACTGAGCATAACTTGTCAAAGAAAATTATCTAAAAGAAATTAGAGGCTTCCATTGCTGACGCATTAATATAATTTATGCATATAGGTTAGGTTAGCAAAAAATTTTATAAATAATATTTAAAGTAGGAGAAATGTGAAAAAAATGAGTTGGAACGCTGATTTTTCCTTACCGATATTACTTTTCTCAATAATACGCTGATAATGAAATATAGCAATCAGACAAATTATCAGTCAAAAAATTTTGAACTTCAACCAAACTTATATACCATTTTATAAATAAAACATCAAGGAACACTAAAAATTTCTTTGAAATTTTCAGTAAAATTTTTTACTATAAAAAAGATTTTAATTAGTAATTATGCTTTAACTGATTGGAGCTCAGACTTTTAATCAAATTTTTTTACTTTTATGGTTTCATTGCGATTCCAATAATATTGAAAAAGCCGAAAAAATGCACAAAAATCCATTTTAATTAGTGAGGATTGGAATTTTTCAGCTTTTAATTAGAACATATTTTTCCGACTTTCCCTTTTCCATTTTTCGTTTTTTTCTTATTTTAGCAGTTTTCACCATTTCTATCAGCTTGACTGGTAGACTGGTGTACTGATCATATAGGTGATATTGGTTTTATTGGACAATTAAATGAATGATAGAAAAGTAAATGGGTTCTCAGTACCACACGGATTTTATTTTTAATGATAAATTTACTCATTTCAAGGTGCAAAACAAACTGAATGCCTAATGCTTGAATCTAGCCGAATCAATATGTACTTTTCCATCAATAAGGATAATAAATCAATAGAAAAAGGAAATTTTTGATACTTTTGCCAATTTTTCATATTATTGAACTCATTTTTGAAAACCATATTATAAAATTCAATTTAAAAAATTATAAAATATATCAATGATTAATTTTTCTTTCAAATCCTTATCGCTTTTTGACTAATTTTGCTGATTTGTTGGAAGAAATAGACTTTGCGGAAAAAAACCGCTTAGCGGTAAGCATAGAAAGAATTTTGTAAGGTAAATTTTACTTGTAAGCGGGGATTGGAATTCTAACAATAAAATAGTATTTCATTGCAAATAATTCTACAATATAAGAATTATTTTATAAAGTTTTTTTGAATATTTTAGAAATTTTAAAATAAAACGAAAATTAGAAAAGAAAAAATGAATTTAAAAAAATTTTTTGGAAAAGAAAAACAATGATTGCATTAAGGAAGTAAATTATAATGCTTGGAATAAAGTTTAATCATAATTTTTTTGGTTTTTTTTTTTGAGTAATTTAATTATTAATGTCTGATTGGAAAGAAAGAATTGAGTGTGCGATTGAGCACAGCATAAGTTCGCTTTTCATTTTACGTTCTCTAAATTTTTTTTTGACAAATATGTCAAATGTCAATTTTGAAATATGTAAGAAAATCTATATTGAAGTAATCAAATCGTACAATGATATTTTTTTTACAAAAATATAAGCAAAAATAATATATTTTTATAAAAATATAAGAAAAAATAATTCTACAATATAAGAATTATTTTAGAAAGTTTTTTTCGAATCGAATATATCGGTAAAAAATATGAAATAATAAAAATGTATATAAGGAGTGGGATAGAAGGGCTCAGTGGGCTGCTGCTCAATTGGGAGCGCCGATGCTGAGGTTCGATCACCCGCAGGAGAAAACTTGTGCAAAAATCTGGCGACTCACCTGTATTTCTGTCGCCAATACGACAAGCCGGTGGAGTGAATTTAACCAGTAATGGTAAAGACTTTTAAAAAAAAATAAAAAAATTTTAATTATATTATATTTAATTATAATTAAATAATTAAAATTAAAATTAAATAAGAAGTGATAAAAAAATCTATCAATAAAGTGCAAGTGTCTTTTCTTATCTTGTCCTTTATGACATTATATCCAATATCACTTGTCTAATAGTTTAGTTTACATAAAATAAAATTGCAAAGTAAGAAAATGCGAAAGAAACGAAAAAATTTAGAAAATTTCTGATTAATTTCGGATTCGAAATTTCTTTTCAATTTTTTTTAGAAATCTAAAAAATAAAAAAGTAAATTTATAAAAATAATAAAAATCAAAAAAGAATAAAATACATAAATGAACAATTAGAAAAAAGTAATTCCGTCATATTTACAAAAAAAATTAAGAAAAATCTATTAAAAAAATAAAATTTATTAAAAAATTGATTTCAAAAATGTTTAATATAAAATATTTTTAAGAAAAATATTTATTTTATATTTTTGTATTTTTTCTGAAAAATATAGAAATTTTAAAAATTATAACAATAAAATTGCTAAATATTTATTTAAAGCCTTTCGAAAGCTTATACTTTTCTCTTTAATATCTGTAAGACTTTCATTAATTTTTTGTTTCAAACTTTCACTTTTAGAAAATAATATTGTATACTTCTAGGCTTAGGAGACATCTCCTTTTTACATCAGTTGAGCTAATTAATGACGACGACGGCAATACAAATAAGCTATTTATGTCTTATGCCTCCTGTATTATTTAAATTCACATCATACAGTTAATTTTAGGTCAAGGCCAAGACTCATTAAAGAATGGAAAAAACAAATAAAATCGGATTTATATGGCACTATTTATCTCTATTTATTGACTCTGACTTTATGAGAAACAAATGATTTCTCTTTAAAACTAAATATACTGGGAGTAATGGATTTGAAGGAACGGAAAACCTGCGTGCTCGAACTTCCAAAATTTCTTTATTCGACATATTGACTTGAGGAATAAATTGCCTTCAAATATGCTATTTTTACCATTGGTGCTTTAGATTTATTCACAAAACATTTTTCCTTTTCTTCAAGAACTCCCACCATTGCTGGTTGAACTCATTCCACTGGCCTGTCGCACTAGCCAAATATGCCAGGGAATCCTTCGACGACAAAAGTACAACTGAGTCGACAACAACTCTAGAGATTTTTGAACGGACTACTCCTGCATGGGTTAGAATCTCAAAATCAGCGCATCGAATCGAACAACAACCATTCTGCCCTATCATCAAAACATCACAATTTTATATATTTATTTGTTTTTTATTTTTTTATTTTCACTTATATTTTTTTCCCATTTAAACATTTGTTGCATTGTTGCAATGTCCTTCTATTATGTATTTGCATTATACCGCATAATTATTAATGCAAACGAATTAATACCTTCGCAATGTTTGATTTTCGTTAAATAAATAATATATCAAAAATAAAATTGATAAATAAATAATGATAAACAAATAATGCAAACAATAATATAAAAAATAAGAAAATAACAAACAAATAATAAATATTAAATATTAAGTAAATCAATTATTTAATTAATTAATTTATTATAGTTCAACCAAGATTATGTATTAAATAAAAAAAAATTTTAATCGATTCATAAAATAAAATATCTTTTTTCTCACAAAAAAATTGCAAACTAAATAATTTACATTGAATATTTATTTATATTCAACAGAAGAAATACACTGAAAGAAAATGAAAGAGTTTGAATGAGTTTAAAGAAAAGCAATTTAAATAAGAAAAAAGAGAAAAAAATTGGTGAAGAACAGAAAAAAAAAACCGGAAAATCATTATAATTCTCGGTTGATTTCTTTCTAATTTTAATTTATGGAAAAAAACTATAAAAAAATTCATAAAATACCTTTTTTAAGAAACTAAATTTACTAAATATATATAAATATATAAAGAAATAGAATATTCGTAGATGCAAAAGAAGTTATTTTTCTCATTTCGAAACACCGTTGCTGCTGTCGTCGCTAGGAGTAAACCTGTTTTTTTTAAAAGAAAATCCGGATAGTGCTACTGGCCCATTTGTTTTCTTTTATCGCTAAGTGATTGCTCTGACAAAATTCGCCTAATACAATAAGCCAGTGGAGTACCAAAAACAATGAACGCTATAAACTCTTAGAAAAGAAAAAATCATTTTATCCATTTTTCACATTTTAAATAGACTTAATGTTAAAAAAACTAATCGTCGTCTAATTTTTATTTTAGAATTGCTGCAAAACGATTTCATCAATTTTAGTATAAAAGCAATAAAAATAGCTATAATGAAAAAATAAATGCGTGGATGTGTGGCAAGATAATTACCACCGTGAATCGGCCACTCTTCGTCGGTCATCACTGTTGCCTAACGGAGAAAAAAAACGATATTAGAATGGTTAAGTGAGTTGTTGTTCAATTCGGAGCGCTGAAATTTTATTCATAATAGGAGTAAATCTAGCCAACAATCTGGGTGATGCTGGATGATTTACCCATATTTCTATCGCCACAGGCATATTCGTCTAGTCAAGCCAACGGGGCGAGTGTAACCAGTGAATTTCTTCTTTGGTGAGTGCTCTTTAAAAATAAAAAAAGAAATTATAAAATAAATAAATTTTTGAAATCTTTTT